CGGTCCTTTAGCGGGTGACTCGGGGAAGGCCGCGGCTGCGGGGTGGGATGGGGGGGAGGGGAGCGGGGGCAAGCACTCCCTGCTTGGGAGGGGTTGTTGCGGATGGTAAGATTGATTTGCTTTCGTGCGTGCGGCCTGATGATCCACATGATGCTATCTATATTGTATCGTATTGATCAAGAGGTTTATTTTGCTGGCAGGGCAGCGCTCGTTTGTCCCAGGGGTCATGATGCTGAAAGGGAGATTACTCTTAAAAGGCGTTTTTGTGGTGGTATGGCTTATAATAAAGGTACTTCTACATTTCAAGAAGAAAGCAATGCGTATCCTTTACCCCTTTCTCTTTTGGAGAGCAGGGGGCAGAGCCCTTGTCGGTATCATAGTTCATCTGCATCTATGAGCGAGGTGGGCACCAGTGGAGTGAGCTAATGACTGTGTGTATGAATGCATCAAGAGAGAAAAGCAGGCCAGCATGAGGAGAGACAGCAAATATTCAGTGGAAGCCGGTGCAGGATGCCGGTGGATTACAGTTACACAGAAACAGCAGAATCGGGGAAGCCTGGGGCCCTCACTGCCATATTGATGGCAGATGTGGGCAGTGTGAGAAGATGAGGCAGAGGAAAGGAGAGCACCTGGTCAAGGTCGCTCAGAGGAGGGCTGTGAGGCTGCTTCAGCTGGGTTCGGCAAGTTGTCCTGCTCTGAGGTTCCAGTTAGTGAAGGAGAGGGGGGCTGTTCAGAAGCATCTCCTGGATAATGAACACTGCTGTTGCCTGTGGTCAGAGGGAGGGGTAGTAGTGGTTTGAATTCCTTGCTGGTGTATACTTCAGCTGTAAGCCTTTGGATAGGGCGGGTGTAGGCGTACTATTTCTGAGCTCACTGTTTGCCTTTTGGGAAGTGAGGCATTTCCAGCAGTAACAAATGTTCCATACATTAGGTCATGCTCTGGTTCCCTAGAGGGGATGGGTCAGGCCATGTGATGTCTAGGTGGCATGAGACGGGGTAGGAGATGAATGGCAGACAACAGTGAGGAGAGGGAGTGTGAAAGAGGCTAGGAGAACTAACCTGATAGCTTATTTATGTACTATGTAAGTAAGGGCTACCAGTAAAGCAGGTAACCTTTGTAGTAGTCCTTGCTATACCCAGAAGATAAAGGCCAGCTGTGACTGCTGCAAGCCATGACAAAGCAGAGCCCTGGAGAGAGAAAGATGTACTTGTGTTGAGTCACTGTTGAGAATGTGGAGAGCTGGGTTTTGTCCTCAGCTTTGCTATATCTGCTGACTAGGGATGACCTGGCCTGGAGACCTAAAAGTGTTTAGATGTCTTAATGCCTTTTTACAGGCATCCAGGTGCTTTGAAAGAGCTGTGTCCTTGTAGTTCTGTGCCAAATTTCCTTGTGCTGAAAATGAAGGGAGTGGTCACAAGGTGGAGGGCAGAAGACCTTGACCACCTAGCATGTGTTCAAATCTGAAGGGTACCTTGGGAATCATCTGCCTTCTGCAAGGAGAGGACCCTGCCCCCTTTCTCTCCATCACTAACCTTGGCAGGAAGAGAGCTCAGCCTGAGACATTTACATGATGTATGTAGGTGGGGGAAAACATGCCCAAGAGTAATTTCCCCAGTTTCTGTTTACTGAGGCCTAACTGGTAGCTGTGTGAGGGTTGTGCAGGCCAGAAGCACCTACATGCTTGGCTTGAAAGATCGGTAAAAGGTGGTGTGAGCACTGGCAGGAGGATATTGGGAGCCGCTGCTCCCGGAACTGAGTCAGAAAGCAAGAGACTGGAAGAGCTGTGACAGCAGGTCCCATAAAGTACTTTCCTCTGCCCTGCCAGTCTTAGGACAATAATTGGAAAGCCTTGGAAAAGGGACTGTTAACATTTTTGGAAAACCTTCCAATCCCTCCTGAGACAGATACTTGATCTTTGCAAATTGTGCCAACTCAGGCACTGGCCATCTAAGAGCCAACTCCTGAGTCACCTGCTCCCCCATGCCTCCCTAACACAGAGCTGGCTTAAATTCCACAAGCTTTAAGAATGTAGAAAATGTCAGATGCTTTTCACTGACACTTAAATTTCTCAGTCTGTGGGACTTCTGAGGCTGTACTGTCAACGTTCCTCTAGAGCTCTGAGAGCTCAGGAGTTTATCTTAATAGATTCACACGCTCAAAATCCAGGAACTCTAGTATTGCCACAGCATCAAGAAAAATAAACGGGAAGGTTGGCAGCACTGCTGCCACCTTTGTGAGGCAGGCTGCTGTGCCAGGTGCCCTGGGGCAGGGTTGGGAAGCACTAGCCTGGGAAAAGCAGGCCTGTTGCTGAAGAGTGCGTGTTTTAACTGTTAAGAGTGACAGCCAGTATAGCTTATGGGCAGATCTGAGACTCAATTTATGGGAACTTGTCAGCTGGCGTGGGGAAGAGTTAGATTCTTGTTTCATGACATGCCAGAGATCAGCAAAAGCTTTTCTGTAAAGCAGATCAACCCAAAATAACAGCCACTAATGCAGCCAGTGTATTCATTAATGAGCTGAGAATAGTTGAGAAAGGTCAGGAGATAATAAAGGGGAGGTTCTGACAGGCCCTCCTGCTGCTAGTCACAGAACTTTTTCCTGCTGTACAGTAGCATCTCCCTTTCCAGTCTCTGTCACTGGTACCCACCTTGGTGCACTTGCACATGGCACCTATGAGCTGCAGCTGCTCTTTATGCTGAAGAGAAACTTCATGAAAGCATGAATAACCAAATTAACTAAATAATTGTTTTGTCTTTTTCCACAGAGAATCACAGCGCCCCTTATCTGTGCTGTTTCCATTGCTGCCATTGGATCTCTCCAGTTTGGGTACAACACTGGTGTCATCAATGCTCCTGAGAAGGTGAGAGGGAGAATGAGTTAGGGAGATGGTGCTGAGGGGCTGATGGGAAGACAAAGGTCTAGAAAGGGAGAGGAGCTGTCTCCCAAGCAGCTAATAATTTGGTTCTGGTTTATGAAGTCAAGAAGACCCTCTCTCAATGACAACAATGGACAGGAAGGGCAAAGTTTTGCGGAGTAGAGAAAGCAAACAGAGGTTAATTCTCAATTAGGAGTGCAGAGGGGGCAGGAGGGCCCCATCTGCCATTTTCTAGTAGGTCTGTATTTGGTGCGTGGAGGAATGTGAGCCACTTGAGTTTTGAGTCAGAATAAACCAGCCATGGCAGAAGGAATGTAGAGAGCAGCATGCAGAAAACAGTTGAGTGTTGGTAGGTATTATAGTTGCTGTAGCTCAGTTTATCTTGGGGACCATCTCAGGCTTCTTTGTTTATTTATTCCTTGTGTTAAGTGTAGATTCAGTGCTTGTAAAAGGGTTGTGACTGGGGCACACTGACCAAACCATCTCATGACTGTAGCCTAAGAAAGAAGAGATGAAGCAAATGAGAAATGTGGTTTTCTTGTAACTATAAGATGGTTCCTCTCTCTCAGGAACTGACTCACCAATACCACATCCACTCTGTCTCCCGGAATAGATGTCACATCACCCGTTGTGGGGTGGGGGTGGGAGGCAGGGGTCCTCCCTAGCTAATGTCCTGCTGCCATCTGCTGGACACAGGCACTCTGAGGCCATCTCCCCCTCAGCCCTTGCAGAATTTAATTGTCAAAGATGTCTCAGAAATCAGCAACACAGCCCTGTCACATGCCCATGGGACAACAAAGGATTGTTTTACATAATACTGCAGTTTTTCAGACTTACCTCAGCGAAACTTTCTGTGTCTCTTAAACTAGTTCCATCGTAGAAAGCCTGTCCCAGCTGCCAGAGTTCTGGTTTTGCCAGAAATGTTCCCTTCCATTCTCTGGTCATATTTTCTTGCTCCTCCTCACTCCCAACTGTCTTACACCCTCTCCCAAGCACCACCAGTGACTTGCATCATCCAGAAACATTCAGAAGATAAGCCTGTTTTCCTTAATAAACACTGACCACCCCCCAACAAGTTCAGTGAAGCAACTTCTCCCTCATCATACTGCTACCCATCCACTGAACTTCTCAATGAAAGTTCTTCTTTCTGTACACTCATCTTCCTCTTGTATGACTTGTTACTGCTTACTGAATTTTTAGGGTCTATCCTTGCTTCTTGCCTCCATTAAAACAGAAGGAAGGCCTCAGAAGTAATCTCCATTGTCCCCAGTGCAAAATGCCTCCCACTGGATTGTAACTCTGTCTCCACCTGGTTTCTCTTGCAGATCATCCAAAGCTTCTTCAACAGAACGCTCTCTGAACGGAGTGGCCAGGTTGTCTCCCCTGAGCTGCTCACATCTCTGTGGTCCCTTTCTGTGGCCATCTTCTCGGTAGGAGGTATGATCGGCTCTTTCTCAGTCAGCCTGTTCGTCAACAGATTTGGCAGGTAAGTTGAGAAGAGCAATCCAAGCCATTAGGGAATTTTTCCCTTCTACAATGAAGTGTTGGAAGAAAGAGGGCAGAGGCGAGAGGAAGGGGGCAGGGGGAGGAGGAGGTGGCTGGGCTGCAAAAGAACGTGTGGGCTGCAAAAAGAAAGGGTTGCAGGCCAAGGCAGGAGCTGAATGGGAATTACTGTGCTCTACCACCCCCAAGACAGGAGGTCATGGGTAGGTTTACCCCTCTCCCAATGATTTTCCCACTGTATTGCCAGCTTAAGCTCAGTCTTGACATCTTTACCCTGGCAGGAGGAACTCCATGCTCCTGGTGAATGTCTTGGCCTTTGCTGGTGGCACTCTCATGGCCTTCTCTAAGATGGCAAAGGCAGTGGAGATGCTGATTATTGGCCGCTTCATTATTGGCCTCTTCTGTGGTCTCTGTACCGGCTTTGTGCCCATGTACATCAGTGAAGTCTCACCCACCAGCCTCCGTGGAGCCTTTGGCACCCTCAACCAGCTGGGCATTGTGGTGGGCATCCTGGTGGCCCAGGTAGGCTTGACACAACATGGTCCTGCCCTCTGGGGAAAGGAGGGCTAGGGGAGGGTGAGGTGGGGCCATACCCACTGGTGTGGGGGTGAGGAATTGGAGTATTTAAATAACTCTTTCTCTTCAATTCCTGGTTTAGATCTTTGGCCTGGAGGGAATCATGGGGACTGAAGCACTTTGGCCACTGCTTTTGGGGTTCACGGTCCTCCCAGCAATCCTGCAGTGTGTGGCTCTTCTTTTCTGCCCTGAGAGTCCCCGTTTCCTCTTGATCAACAAGATGGAGGAAGAGAAAGCACAAGCAGGTAAGAACCCCTCTCTGAAGGGGTAGGGCTGTATTCTGGCTCCCAGCCCCCACTGAGCTTTAGTGGGAGGCTATGACTGAGTCTGGAGCCTGCAGTGGATCAGGGTGTGACTCCCAGAGGGTACCAAGCCTACCCTCCTGGCCTTTAGGTTGCACCAGTGCCAGGAAGTATGAGAAACCTGGCATCCCAACAGACTGCAGGTGGGATTAAGACATGAGGAATGGCACCTGGCCTGGTGGGATGTAGCAGGGCCACCTCCTGCAGCTCTGTCAGCTCCTCCTGGAAGGCAGGAAATAGGCTGGCATTTAACAGGGAGCTTGGAGAGTGTCTCCCTTTCCTACTGCAGAGGGCTGGAGTCAGCTCTGGCAAGTGTGTGAACAGAATTAGGGATTGAGTGCAAGTTTGGAGATCAAGCAACGTGAGCAGGACCTGGGCCTGGTTTCCATGCTGGGCTGAAAAGATGAGCAAAGCTGCATGCAGGGGCTTGGGCTTTCTCATGCAGCAGGCCTAAATGCTGGCTGGCAGGTGGTCTGGTCTTCCCAGTGTGGCCTCCCTGAAATAGCAGGCAGGATAGGAGGAACCTACTGGCTGTGGGTGTATTATACCTGGCATTTTTGGATTCTTCCCTCCAGTTCTCCAGAAGCTCCGTGGTACACAAGATGTGTCTCAAGACATCCTGGAGATGAAAGAAGAGAGTGCTAAAATGTCCCAGGAAAAGAAAGCAACTGTGCCAGAGCTCTTCCGTTCTCCAAACTATCGTCAAGCCATTATCATTGCCATCATGCTGCAGCTCTCCCAACAGCTCTCAGGCATCAATGCTGTGAGTATCTTCCTGTTCCATCTGCTGGGCCTCCTATATCTCTGGCTACACTTGGACCTGACACTTAATGTTGAGAGAACTGTGCTTCCAAAAACCCCTCTGTGCCTTGATTGGAGATCACAGTTTTGTGATCCTGTAGTGATTGCTAAAATGGAAAGTGGAGATGATATTTGCTTTCACTTCTCCCACACACACCCCAGCAAGACATTGCAGCCTTGTATCAAGTGAGTGAACCTTGACTGGGAGCATGCTGGTTTATACTGTTGAGTGCTTCTTAGAAGCTCCCTGTTGGGCCTGCAAGCCATTAGGCAGAGAACGAGGGCCATGCTGTCAAACACAGGAATCATGATGGAGTCCAACTTTTGCTTTCTCTTCCCAGGTATTCTATTATTCTACAGGGATTTTTGAAAGAGCTGGTATCACGCAGCCTGTGTATGCCACTATTGGAGCTGGTGTGGTAAACACAGTCTTCACTGTTGTGTCGGTAAGTGGTACAGGGACTTATGATGAGAGGTAACTTGTCTGCCTGGGCTTTTTTAGGAGATATGACTGAAGACAAGTAGCCAGGCTGTGGCAAAGCATTGGGCTAGGCAATGGCCTATAAGAGCAAAGAAAAGAATGCATTAAAAGCATTGTGGGGCGAGAAGAGGAAGGGTGAAAAGGAGTGCATGGCAGGGAAAAATGATGACAGAAGGCAGTAGCAAGAACCAGAGAGGAAAAACTTGGGCCAAGGCTGGAGCAGCCTGGTGACCTGCACTGAGATCACCACTGGCACTGAGGGCTACAAGCAGATAAGAGGTGCAGGGGATGCTGAGCAAGGGAGCCTCTTCAGCTCTTGCTGCCAAAGTGACTGATTATTTCTCCTTCTGCCATGTTTCCAGCTGTTCCTGGTGGAGCGTGCAGGGCGCAGGACCCTCCATTTAGTTGGTTTGGGTGGCATGGCTGTGTGTGCTGTTCTTATGACGGTTGCTTTAGCTCTGAAGGTGAGTAATTTGTATTCTTGTCCAGGCTGACCCCAGCAGGGGACATTTAAGACACATACAGCTGCCTTGCCCTGCAATTCTGCTCTGTAGGCAGGTACAGCTCAACCTAGAGCTGTGTGGTGGAGAGCATAACTTAACTGCAGACAAACTGCCATAGTGTTCACAGTGCAGCTGAAAAAGTTGTGATGCTGGAGATGGTATTGTGCTATGCCATGTTTGCCTCAAACTACAGCTGATAATGTTTTGTTCCCTTGCAGGACTTTGTGGAGTGGATCAGATACATCAGCATTGTTGCTACTTTTGGCTTTGTGGCTCTTTTTGAGATTGGCCCTGGCCCTATCCCCTGGTTCATTGTGGCAGAACTCTTCAGCCAGGGCCCACGGCCTGCAGCCATGGCAGTGGCTGGTTGTTCCAACTGGACCTCTAATTTCTTAGTGGGAATGCTCTTCCCCTATGCAGAGGTAAGGACCCAGCTTGCAAAGCACTGAGTGCTGTAGCATTGGAATAGGTGTCCAGAGTGGCAGTAGAATCTCCATCCTTGGAGATGTCAAAACATAACTATGACCCTTAACCTGATCTCTCCTTGAAGTTGTCCCTGCTTTGAGCAGAGTCCCCGATTCTGTGTTCTGATGTTACTGAGGATTAAGAGTGTTGTGGCTTACCTTATATTCTGCTGTCTTAACTGCCTGTAGCTTAGAAACAGCTGGAAGAGCCATCTTAATTAGCACATCAAGACTTTCCCTTTAAAAGCCTCAATTTTGGTCATCCCCAGGAACATTAAAGCATTTCAGAAACCCACAGGAACTTGACTTCATTTAAAAAAAAAATATTGTCTTGAGGAAAAAGTCAGTAAGGGCACTGTTGGAGAAGGATGTTTGAATTTGGCCTGTCAACAGCAAATGACCTTGCATTTAGGTTTATGAGCTTTTCAAATTAAAACCTCCTGCTTTTGTCCTCCTTGCAGAAACTATGTGGCTCCTATGTCTTCCTCATCTTCCTTGTTTTCCTGGTCATCTTCTTTGTCTTCACCTTCTTCAAAGTGCCAGAGACCAAGGGCAGGACTTTTGAAGACATCTCCAGAGGCTTTGAAGGACGAGCAGAAGCCAGCTCCACATCACCTGTAGAGAAGAACCCCATGGTGGAGCTGAACAGCATACAACCTGACAAAGAAGTTGCCTAAGATTCGTAACAGACCCGTTCTTTGACTCTTACATGCTTAGAGAGTCATTAAAGCAATGAGCAAAGAAAACCATGAGAACTGGGACATTTTTTCCCCTGTCAATTGCTGCTATTTTCTTCTTTGCACCCACACACTCCCCCATTCTGCCAGGCTTACCAGTATTAAGCAAATCTAATATGGGTGATCCCATTTTCAAGTACTGGAAGGCACCTGGCACTTGCAAAAATAATTTCATCTTCCCTGTCACAAACATCAGGAGAACAGAGAGGATCTGGCAATATTTTTTTTTCCTCACCTATAATTGCTATTTGGGGTTAACATACTTAATGCACGCAGTGACCATTGTGTATTTGAATCTAATTACTATTTTTGTAGTGAGCTGAAGTGACCCACAAAAGAAGTCCCCGGCCCTTTGAGTCTACTCTGTGTGTGTGTATGCAGTGTTACACTGGAATTTAGCAAACCTACCAAAAAGCCATCTCCTTGCTTTTTCCTATCCGGTGTGCACTTTTTTGAGCCTCAGGAAAAAGGGGACCAAGTTACATGCATATTTTTTTCCTGCTCTTTTATTTTTTTGTATAGACAGACTGAAAGCATACTTTTACTTAAGTTTATTTATTTGTATGTCACTCTGTAAATATTTATTTTTTTAATGGTGTACAAAAATGTACAGATAAAGAAATTGAAGATGTTTAAGAGAAATAGCTATTCTAACAAAAAGATGCTGTAGAGTTGAGGTGCAATAAGACTGTAGAGGAGAAACATGGTACTAAACAGGAGATTGGGCATTTTGGATAGTATATACAACAGAGCCAATTATGCGTGTCATCTTTAAGTTATTTGTGCCCTCTGGAAAGAAATGCAAAGAATTGCATACTAGTAAGAAGAGATATGTTTGCCCACCAAAATCTGTTATTGGGGATTTTTTGGGGTGGCAATTTTAAATATTGTTCCCAAGTGTCAATTGGAAAGTGTGGTATTGCAGCAAATGGGTGGTGTTAGTTTACTTTTTTAGTCATGGTTAAGCGTTGTATGGGATGATTGAGAGTGGCGATTGCAAACCAGAAGGTAACTTCTCTTGCCTTCTCTTAGTTTTATTTTTTGGCTTCTCTGCTGTATTCTAGTAGGTCAGAAAGTCTGAAATTTGCAGATTGTTACTTAAAGGTGTGTGAGGATAACTACTGTTTTCCAAAGCTGTATTTTCTTAGCAATTGTTCTTATAAATATCAGACAGAGGCATGTAGTGTGACTCTTCTGGACCCAGGCATGGTTGGTTATGGCATGTGTAAGTTCATGAAGGACTAGAGGACTACCTCCTCTACCTTTATGAAGACCAGAGCTACTAGAATATGCGAGCTTAGCAGTGTGAAAGCTCTATAGCTCTCACTCCACTGGTTGATTGTAGGCCAAATGTTTTTTTGCCCCATGTGTCCTCTCTGGAAGATCTGCATGATGTTGCAATGCTCACCAGTGTGCAGCATGCTGTGTGGATGTGTACAGCTCTGTAATAGTGCCCCTGTTAAAAGGGATATGGCAGACAGTAATTATACATCAGTTAATATTGGTCTCCCTACTTGTCATACTGCTAGGCAATTGAGAGTATGTACACACCTACCCTTGCTGCCAAGCTAGCACAGTTCAGGAAGGCAAAAAGTAGCACATATGGTATACTTGAAATCAAGGGATGGGAGCTTTGCTTCACTGACTGCAGCGCTCTGTCAAGAGAGACTTCAGGCCCATGTCTGTCTGGGCTTGCACAAGCTATCTAAAGGTAGCACAGAGGTAGGTCCAATTTAAACTCTGGCTCTAAGGTCTTCTGAGTTTTTGACTTGATCAAATTCAAGTCTACCTGCAAACTCATGCTGGAATTCATTGCTGGATATCCTAGAAGAGAGGCAGGAAGATAAAGGCTCAGAAAGGCAGGCGTGACAGCAAAATTGTTGTAGCGTGGGTAGCCCAAACCTTCTTGACAATGTACTGCAGGACAGAGAAATTCCCATTGATGTATATTCTGGGGGCATGCATCTGGCTTTTTCAGTAACTACAGTGATGATGTTTCTACTTTCCCTATTGAGAAATGGTTGCAAAGATCAGTAAAACTTGCTGCTGTGAAATACTTCCTGTGACTTGATTTGAAATACTCCAGCTTTGCACAATGCAGTTTTCCCTAGCTTACTATTGGGCTTCTGTGCCAGATTTAGATAATACTTCTGAGAATAAATGACTTCTTCCCCAACTTTAATATTTTGGCTCAGCTATATAGATTTTTGTGCCCTTCCTTTGACCCTCCAGCACTTCCAGACATATTTCTACATGGGCATCTATATGTCTCACATGGTATCTCTTTATTTTCTTTTTCTGTAACAGCATTGTGAATATTTTGGATGGATTTTATATGCTTATTAATGTGGTTGTTTCCTGTTTTTAAAATAAAAACTATAGAACAAAGTATCTGGTTTGGAATTTACCTTTATCCTGTAGGTATTCTATTTCTTATTCCTTTATTACAGCCTGGGACTACATCCTGGAATGTCCCCAACTTCTGCCCTGCAACCTTTCTGGCTTGCCCAGCATCTTGAATTTGCTCTTTTATTCCAGTGGAAATGAACGTTTCTCTCAGACGCCATGCATATCACCTTAAATACCCCTACTACTCTTCCTTAGGAGTTTTTTTTAAACTAAAAATATGCGCTTTCCTGGCTCTTGTTTGCATCTAAATCCTTTCCCAGAATTTCTCAGTAACAGGATGGGAGAGGGAAGTGGCTAGAGGTTAGGAATTCAGCGCAGAGCTAAAACATCTGCTCCTGAGAGTGGTCCTCAGCTTCTCTGCTGTGAAGATGAAAAGGGAGCCCTTCTCTCTGTCAATGATGCTGGCAAGTGACCATAATGTCCTCCTTGGAAATCTTGCCTCAAAGCAGCAGGGTGGTAAAGAGGAAACCCCACTGCCTAGAGAGAGGCCAGTTCCTAGGAGTTGCTTCCTTACCCCAGGGGCCATGGCATTC